CAAAAGCAATATACTGATTTTAGGCAAAAGATCCATAATCTACACAAAAACTTGCTCTTAATCAAGCTCTTCAGCTTCTAGCATCACCAGCAGAGAGAAATTTGTGTTCTACCAGCTAAAAAGATGTCTCTGACAAGCCGAATGAAATCAGAAATATATATCAAAGAGTATAATTGCATGCCTGCTGGTTATGTTGCATTCACAGACGGGAACACTGACACCTCTGTAAGGACTCAAGATAACACTGTTACACTGCTGGCTCCTATAAATCACATTCATCTATTCACTAGAGCTGCAGACCGTTCAGAATAAATCCAACCCCTACAGGCTCATGGAGATGAAAACAGAGCTGTGGTAACGAGATCGGGTTAATATAAATGATTTGGAATAGACTTATATTTGTATGAAAATGTATATAGGTAAAATTTGTATAAGTAGAAGGCCATGGGATGATGAGTGTTTTAGCACTGGGTTTACAATGCTGCTCATTGCAGCATTGAAGAACCTCATTATTAATTCTAACTTTCTCCTCTTTAAAAGGGTACGGTAGAACTGTAAAAAGGCCAGTTAACCTCAAGTAATCTAACTGTGATGCTGGTATGTAACCGATACCTCCTAAACTCCATATAACATGGGACCTTCCACAGCAAATAATCAGGCATTCCTAGGAAAAGACCAAAATCTGGGCTGATCTCAGAAAATACAGGCCAGAGAACAGCCCATGGTCAATTGGTTGTCTCAGAATGGCTCACTCACACTGAGGTAAGTGGGACGCTTGCTTTTCCAGCACTTTAAAGCAATTCCGTGGGGTTGCCAATCTATGTTTTATGGTGCAGATGGCAGTCCCTGTAGTAAAAAGTAGAACTATGATGACTAGCACAACCGGCATTACATGTAAAGTCATATTCTATTTGACCTGACTGTGGAACAGATCTAATATATTTTCACTAATTATGTTTTCTACCTGTTTAAGTTGTCACAACAGAACACATTGCAAAGGCTGCTTTCATTTTTAACCTTTACGATTCACCAAACCCCAACATACATTTCGCTGCTTCATTATCAAATATGGGGATGATGCAGTGAAAAGGGCAAAAACAGCGTTCTAATAACAATCTTATCACCCTTGCCTCAGGCTTCAGAAGAAGTAGAGAATCATTACAATCTTTCACTGCAACCAATAAAACTTCAGTGTGAGTCAAGCAAATATTTTCCTTTTGCACTGTTTATTGGGTACTACTTGCTGTTTTCATTAAATCTGGCACAATGTCTAAGATGAGGGTACCCACTTACTTTTAGATGTATGATCCTCTTTCTCCTTCCTGCACTATGACACGTTGAGTCCAACACAGCGCTACTTGAGAAGGCTGCTGGGCAGGTGTCTTCCCAATGCCTCAGCATGCTTTTTGCTTAGCCTGGTGTATTATTTATGGAGCTACAGGACCCGAATCCAACATGTTGGCATGAATTTTCTCCTCCTCCGTATCAAAGGGGAGGATAGTGCTGCTCACACTGTGGTCGGGAACGTGCCACTCTCAGCGTCTTTCTCCAGTGACACACAGGCAGGTGGATTTGTGCAACACTTCACAAGGAGGTATCATCTGCCCTGGCTTATGTTATATTTTCTGACTTGGTTGGGCACATGTCAGTTGTGTTATCACAGTCCCTAAATGCCATGTATTACAGAGTTATGTGACAAAATAGGGTATGTGCTGGAGGAAGTAAGCCTTGGTTATTAGCATCTAGCACGGCTGTCCACTCAGTGTGAAATGGGAGGATATGGGTTTAGCTCTTGTTTCTGGACCTGCAGAGATCCCGACTCAGCGGAGCCTCCATCAGCCCTCAAACTGAGGGTGAAAGTGCTCTATGATCTTTGCAAGCAGGCCCCAGAAAGGACACTGACTAGAAGAACTGGTTGTTCTAATAGGGAGAGGGAAGAGAGAAATGCACGAGACAGAGCAAACATCTCTGTTCACTCTGACAGTGATTCTCATCCTAGCAAGAATCAAAAGATTGCTAAGGGTTTAACAAGACTTACTTTTTTCTTAGAGTCAAGCTAGTCATTTCTGGGAGAAAACAGCTATTCAGACAAAGGAGTAGGTCCACACACCTCACCAGGATTTCTTTGGTATTAAGATTGCTCTCCAGTAGCATACTTAATACCAAGTCTGATTCTCTGTGTTTTTCCAAAATAAAACTGAATGCGCCTCCTCTACAAATGTGCTTTCTTAGTTTTAAAGCCATTAATATTTCCTTTCAAAAGACGCCAGGTGTCTTTCTGTGCCACGGAGAGCACACGAATGTGACCGCTCATGCAACCCCCCACCAGCACAGTTACACACAGGGGTTTTCGGAGGAGCTTGTGTTTATTACGATGGTCGCTCTACTCTGAAGCTACTGATACCTGATGAACTCATTCATTGCTGCCTTTGTGCCCTTCATTTAAAGCCAGCAATGCTCTTCAAGTAGGGATTTTCCAAATATAGCCTTGACAACCTAGTTCTGAGCGCCTAGGGGAGAGACAGGACTACTCTGCTAATTGGTACTGATACACTGGGGAGAACCAGCACTGTCTGCAGCAGCTCTCCCTTAAAGTGGACTAGGTCAGCTGGATGGCAATTGCACTAAGTCAAACACTAATTTTCCTAAGCAGATC